ACACTCTCCGGACAGCCTTGGTGATGTTCCGTCGCGGGCTAGAGCTTGGTTAGCCAGCCAGTTTCAAGAAGAAGATTGTGCAGTTACTTCTCTGTCTCGGACGCCGCTATACAAACCAACTCCATGCCTTGGAATGAAAAGGCGGCTTGGATGATGACACTAAGGATTGCCAAGAAACGGTCCGCGTCAGCGAGCTCTACTAGATGCGCACGGTTCACAGCGCCAGGATGTTTCCAGAACTTGGTGCAAGTCAGAGGTGGTGTTACTCGAGTGATCATATATACCTTGAAACCGATTACTTCATGATTTGGCCCTCCTCCGAGATCCAGGACAAGACCAGAGATGAGAAGAATGATGATAAGGAGCACTGGATCACAGTTTAGCTACGACTCGAATGAGAGCATCCGCCCGTACGTTTGGTGATGGAGAAGAAGAACTCGGCTGAAGATAGGTTGTCTGATAGGACAGTTTACAAGGTCGATTTGCAGCTCACATTCTCCGAAATATCTGCATAGGCTATGTGAGATGTAACCTATGATTGCGGATCAAACTCACCGCACCCCAAAGATGTTGATGGCACAGACGGATATCGCGATGATCTACGTACAGCCTAAATAACCCTTATTCTCCAGATAAAAAAGGTGCATACCGCGGTATAGATAGCAGCGTGACTGGTCTGGGAATAATGCTGTGAGATGATGCTGTACGGCGAAAATGAATGGCTTACATCCTTGTCCCAGAAAGTCATGAGGATTACAGCCGCGTTGATCTCGACAGGAACAGCCGTCCTTGGAGTTCGTCAGCACGGGTGTCGGCGAGAAGATATTGCAGAAGCGTACACGTTGGCAAAGAAATAATTCCACCCGACAGCGAATCCCAGTGCTGGGTCGACCCATCGTGAGGCTGTCCTTCAAAGTCAGGAAACTCCACGGTAAGAGGAAAGAGGAAACAGACCATAGTGAGGGAAAGTGCCTGAAATAGGCTGCGCTCAATTTTAGTGAGATGAACGGTAATCTCTAGGTTGCAAAGGCGACATACGGCCCAAGTAGTCATCTCCGCGATGCCACACAAGGTTCTAAGAGAAGGTCAAGAGAAGTTTTCAAGGAAAAAATTCGTACGCACGCATAAGCAACTGTAGCGACCAAGGCATAGGCTATTAGCGCTCCCAAAGGACCTGCCACTTGAAGCGCATTTCCAGAACCGAGGAATAGACCAGTTCCAATGGTTCCCGCAATCTGCAATTTTTCAGCAAAGCGCGCCCAGAATCGCGTAAGATACGCTCACGGCAATCCTGGTCAGTCAAGTCAGTGCAAAGATGCTGATAAGCAGACCAACACGCACATTTGAACATGGCGCTGCTTCAATCGCCTCTGCACACGGTCCAGGTCGTGAAAGTCATACTCATATCTGTCGTCGCTTGCTACAGTCTCGACGATCTCTCTAGAAGATTTGCGGGCCAGCCACTTTTTGTCCATAGCGAAAGAAAGGGAGGAAAGGGAAAGAGAGCGGAGACGCAGAAGAGAAGGGAAGAAACGCGCACATCATCTCTTCTCCCAAGCGCGCGTCTTTATCCGTCGCGACTCCCTTTGAATGAATTGATCTCATCTAAAGAGTGCAGTTTGATGTTGTAGCTCGGAATCGGTTGCAAAGGTAGATCTTTCGACGCCTTTGGCTCACAGTAGGGGGCAGTGGAATGGAATGGAGAGAAGAACCATTCGCGACGCGCAGGTGTTTCATCGACAAAAGTCGACGTATTCATGGAGAGCATTGGCCGAGTGTTCAATAGAGCGCGGGCAGAGACGGTTTAGCTGGAAACGGGCGAGAACGATTCACGGTCTGATGCTCAACACCAAGGTTGTCAGTTGAGATGAGAGGTTCGGATTGATTCAACTCCTCGGATCACTGTTCGGATCACTGTCCGCTCTCCGCATCTCTGCTCACGATGACCGCGCGCTTGAAGAAGAAACTGGGAAACCTCGGCGTCGACCCCTCCAGCGTCCGCGCCAACGAGTCCTTTTGTCTGGTGTGTATTCCATCGTGGGGTTGTCGCTTGGATTAATGGGCGCCGTTCAGATTGGAACCCCGTTGCCCCCGCTCGAGAAGACCAGAGATAACAACGAATTCGTTCCTCTCTGGAAACAAGACGTCCGTGATGAGAAGGGACGGAGGAGATTACATGGTGCCTTCACCGGCGGCTTTTCTGCGGGTTATTTCAACACAGTAGGTTCCAAGGAAGGCATGTGCGTTTTTTGTCTCTTCCAACTATCTCCTCTCACTTCCAAACACAGGATGGACGCCCTCGACCTTTGTATCTTCGCGTGGAGATCGTTCAAAGAAAAAGGAGGCTCGTCCTGAGGACTTTATGGACGAGGAGGACCTCCAGGAACTAAAGGACAGCCGAAAGATAGTCGACACCGCGGACGAAATGGACCTTACGGCTGGGACGCAGCTTGGACACGGAGACGACGAGGAGCAAGAGTGCGTACGATTTCTGTCCCAACTATCCGTGTCCAACCCGAAGCAGTTCTGTCGCACGCGCCCTAGAGGCATCTATGCTTCCCTCAGCCAAAGACTCCGCTGGGGGACGTATATTGAAGAAGATGGGCTGGCGTCTTGGTCAAGGCATCGGCCCTCGCGTTTCGCTGCGTCAAAGAAAGCTCCAGGATTTGCAGGCACAAGCGCTCTCCGGTCATCGAATTCCAGGAGCTGACGTCGAAATCCCGGACGACGACGAAGAGGCGAATAAGCACACCTACGCTCCCCGTGACACCCCCGTGCTCGCTGTGGCCCGCAAAGACAACACTCATGGTCTGGGCTACCGTCCGGGCATGAGCCTCACCGAGAGCGTAGGGGGCCGAGGCGGCGGTGCCTCTGGACCGAATTTGTCCAGTATGTGACCTTCTTGGAATTTATAATCTTATTGACCCTGTATTCTAGCTGGCTTTGGCTTGGGCGCCCTGAACGACGCGGACGAAGACGATGTGGACGTCTATGATGCAGGTGCAACGCAAAATAGCCGTAACCGCACGGCATACGACATTATCGACCGCGAGGAAGAGGAAAAGATATCTATCGGAACCAGAGCAAGTGCTCCTGCTACGGTTGGTCTCAAACAAATCTCCACCTTGTCGTGCTCATGTCCTGAAGCGTCCAAACTCCTCGACAGAAACGTTCAACGATGGCAAACCAGTTCTTCTGGGTTTCGTGATCTCCTCAAAGCCCGTGTCCGAAGATGGATGGTGTGTGGTATTTGACTTGGCGGAGACTTCATCTCATTTTCGCAGGTTTCCGCTTCCTGATGTGCCGAAAGGATGGAAACCAGACCCAAATCGCGTCTGGGGCAAGGAAAATCTGCAAGCACCAGAGGAAGTATCTGCTTCTCCTGAAAAATGGAGTAAATCGGGAATTTCAGCCGACCAGGTAGGTTTGCGCTCTCAGAAACGAGGAAAAATACTCATTCGCATTTAGCGTGGTAACATGCTTGGAGAGACACCCTTGCCCTCAGCGCCGCGCTCTGTATTCGAATACATGCTCGCAGAAGGATCGCGAACGCTTGAAGAATATTGCAGCTGATGGGATGCCGCCGCCAGGAGCTGCTGCTGATTCCTCCCCTACTCCTGCACCGGCCACCATAACTATCCCCCGTACCGATCCACATATCGCACTTGCGGCTCTAGGAGGAGGATTCCTACCTTTTGCCACCAACCCTGCCAAGCAGGCGCGCTACACCGCGTATCTTGAATCCCAGGCTACCACCGATTCGCCGCCACCGCCGCCACAGCCTTTACCTGGGCAGAGGATCGACGAATTCAACAAGGAACTCGAAGATTATGCCAAGGCGGCGGCGATATTCAAACCTCTGTCCGGCGCCATGGCGGGACGTTTCACGTCCGCGAGCATCGTCGAGCACGGGCCACAGATTCGTGAGGGGCTGTATACACCTTCTGCAGAGGACCTGGCGGAAAAGGAAGCGGAACTAAAGAGGGTGGAAGAAGAAAAGATGACTCCCAAAGAGCACGCTGCGCGGCTAGGCATGTACGGTCCGATGACGCGGGAGACGCAGCCTTGGCAGCCGGCCAGGCTTCTTTGCAAGCGATTCCGGGTTCCGCCACCTGCAGAGCCAGAGCCAGAGGCGCCCACTTTCGCGCAACCTGCTAGTGAGGCCAGCACGGAATGGGACCAATCTGCAGCCCCCGCCGCATCTACGAGTGGCAGCAACGCCGAAACGTCGACTGGCTCGACCAGCGGAGGTCCCCGTGATCTAGCCAATATCGGCCTCGGGGAGGATGACACGCAGGGCAGAGATACCCTTACATACCAGCGCCCTGCCATGGATGTGTTCAAGGCCATCTTTGCTAGCGATGACGAGGACAGTGATGACGAAGATAAGGAGATTGAAGAAACAGAGCCAGAACCTGTGAAGGCTCCGTCACCGCCTCCGCCCCAACCACCTCCCCCAGCACCCGACGTCGTTATGGCGGCTCCAGAAGTGGTCGAGCCGGTAGATCCAGCCACGTTCAAGCCAACGTTCATACCTCGCGAGGGCAAGGCCAAGAAGGGCTTGGATTCAGATCGCAGTAAGGAGAAGAAGGAGAAAAAGGATAAGAAGAGGAAGGAGAAGGAGAAACGGAGCATGGTGTCATTCCAAGCGGACGAGGAGGACGGCGCGGGGTTGCAGATTTCTCCGGTCAAGGATCGACCAAAGAAGAAACGCCGGAAGGAGGAACAGGTTCCGGAAGATGATGATTCTATGTGGGTGGAAAAACCTGCACCGGACGTGGTGAAGACATTGTCGGTCGTTCCACCGACAGAACCTGAGCCAGAGAGCACGAGCAGGGGGCGGAAACGGGCGATCGACTTTATGTAGTAATAAACGTGTTACCGTACACATCCGCTCACGAAGCAACTCGACAGCTTGCAAAAGTAATGAAGTGAGTGTCGAGTATGTAGCTGAGCTACCGCTCTTGTGTTCCGAAAAGCGAGCAAAGTTCAAAAAAGATTGCCCACTAGCCGATTCGAACGACTGATCTTATCATTACACGATTGATAGAATCGAATACGAGTGATACGCTTTACCCCTAAGCCAAGCGGGCTTCATTGAAAACCCACATCCAGTGTTACTGATCACAGTAAGTACTAATAATAAACATGCCCACGACCAAGGTCACGTTTCTGGACCAGCCTTTCTTCCAAGCGCTCCATTGTCCTCGATGGCCCTGTTAAATATGCGCGCTTGTCCAGACTCCTCCTTTCTTTACACCAACGCCATCTCTCTCTTCTTTGACGCGTCCAGCGATCTTCAGCATTGCACTTACCAGGTGGCACTCAATCTCAGGTGCTCTCGAACACGATGAGGGCAAGCGAGCTGGACAAATCCTTTGCCGGCATAAAACCCGTCGCCCAATTTCTCGATGAATTTATGGGGGCCAAAACTCCAGACACTCTCGAGCGCAGTCTGAGGGGAGCCTCTGCTGCATTAAAAGGAAAGACACCTCTGGTACGTATCTTCGCAGAGTTGCTTGCCTCGACTCTTACTGGACATAGTTTTCGTACCTCTGCAAGGTCGCTTCTCGAATTCCTGGTCATACTAGACCGATGCTCTTCGACACGAGCAAAGCGCAGTTCCCTTCCATGATAGCGGGATGGCCTCAAATCACAGTCACCAAGCCTTGGGTGACCGAGGTGCCCAAGTCGGGATGGACCTGGTGGCACGCTGCCACGGTCATTGAACTCATGTCCGCCAACAACGATGTCTTCGACCGTCGAGACGCGATTCGCGACTACGATGCTGTGGCTCATCTTGCAGCCACCGCTCGCAATCTTTTGGTAGAATCCGGACTCTGCCATGTCTACATCATCGTCATATTCAAGACAAATCATACTCGCATCTTCCGTTTCGACCGCAGCAGTTTCTCGTCCAGCACTGCTTTCCACGTCGTCGAGGAACCGACATATTTCGCCACTTTTCTCTGGCGCTTATTCAATCCGAGCAACGGCTCGTACATCCTGGGCATGGACGACACGATAACATTCGCCGTCCCAAACGACAAACGGATAATGTACGCCGAGATCTGCAAACACCCTGTCTATAGCGAGTGGTCGTACGAGCAAGCGACTCGAGATAGTCTCTGGATCACCGCTGTTCGATACAAGGAAGGCACTCGGGAGCCTCAATTGGTCCACTGCTTCACGTTCGGCGGCATCATCGCGCACTCGGACGGACTCTTCAGCCGTGCCACACGAGTGTACCGGGTGCTTATTGCAGAAGACTTGGACCTGGACCGGGATGCCACCGAGTACAGCCCAATCCCTGTCTACGCCCTCAAAGATGCTTGGTCACTCAAGGGGCATCGACCTGAAGTGGACTTTTACGACATGATTGCGAAATATTGCGCAGACGATGTTGCAAAGGATCCAGAGAATGAACAGAGACGGAAACTTTTGGATTCTATCGCCAAGTGCCATGGCAGCATTGACCTCTCCTCGGCAAACAGCCCTGTGGAATGTGACCGCGACCTCCACCAGTCTCACCCCACCACAGAGCATCCGGCGCGCTATCATACGCGGTTGTTGCTCACCCCTGTGGGCGCCCCGCTCAGAAAATGCGACACGACCCAATCCCTCCTTGAGGCGATTATGAGTGGCATGTTCCGTACGTTTACTATTTCTTTTTCGATCATATCTGAGCAGAGTAGATCATTTTGCTGCATACAACGCCGGTGTCTTGCACCGCGACATAAGCGAGGGTAACATCCTTCTGCGCGAAGTGCCAGATCCAGATCCGCACCCGCAAAACCAGGGCTTCCTCGTCGACTGGGATAATGCCCAGTTTACAAAGGAAGGCGCGATAAGATTCAACCAGTGGTTTCCTGATCGCACTCCGGCCAACCTTGATGAAGTTCAAGCAAGTTTACAGAAACTCGCGGTATGTTGTTTCGTCCCTCGATGCGGTTGTGTTATGAATTTTCTCAGGGAACGTTTCCTTTCATGGCAATCCAATTCATCCACAATCCTCTCCATGAGACTGTCGTTCATAGCCCGCATCACGACCTCGAAAGCTTTTACTGGCTGCTCGTCTGGATGGTTCTCCGCTACTCAGCGGTGACCCTCGGCACGGGCACGGGCACCGCTCATTCTTGGTGTGAGAGGCTCTTTGAAGACCCTTACAACGACACGGCGAAGCTGCGCTGGGTCCAAGGGACCGAGATCGCGCCCATTGACAAGGGCTCGAATCCTCCTTTGTACGAGCTGCTGGAACGTTTAAGAAAGGCAGTGGATCGGCAGAATCCGGAGAATCCTGTTGACCGGCCTTTTATTGCGCTCAAGTACCCCAAGATGATTTCTTGGATTCAAAAGGCCATGCAGTCTTCGGAGTGGCCTGAAGGCGGCTCGTCGGTCATCGAAGATGTGGCTATGCCTGACCTGGATGAGGATGCGGCGACTGTGTTGGACGCGGCCAACGGGGGTGAATCTACTACTGTTGTGGATATCACAGCGAGTCCGGAGAAAAGAAAAGGTGGCAAGACGGAGTCGCCAGCGAAGAGACGAAAGCGGAACTGAGAAAGGGACACATTTTTACTTGTTCTGTGCTACGTATATACGTTGAATTGTCGTAAAACGGCGGGACTGGATGTCAGCCAGCGCAGGCGAGCGCCTTATGACACTGATTCAATTGCTTGAGGTCGCTTCGCAATTTGCCTGCGGGGGATCGACGCGATGAAGAGTCTATTTACCTGTGAGTACACTTGAAGAGGAAAAATTAAAATACCGGCTGTGCGAGCAAAAGGAACGCGTACCCCATATGCAGCTGTTAAACGCTGGGGTTGAACCTACCACCCGAGCTCCGATTTCGAACCCTCGACCTCCGGAGAGTGTCGATCAGTGGTCGAATTATCATGACCGCTGAGCCAGTGGCGCCCTGTTGAATGCCGATTCAAGGCAGAATATATTCTGCATATTCTCGGTCTTTAACAGGCTCGCCAGAAGTCGTCTCCGCGGGGCGTTGTCGCCGTTTTGGGCTTGCGATATTTGATGTGTCCCGGCCTTGTCCCGGTCAGACGTTGGGTTACCGAGGCTTCCGGAGGCTTGCCAACGACCATGCCCCGCCGGCTCTATTGGATATTGGATACTCAGCGTCGTTTTCATCCCAGTCGACCCATCGCAAATCCGACGTATTGGGGATCTGGGAGGCTCAGCTGCTGATTGACTCGAGTGACGGGAATTTCAAGTGGTCGGTGGGTCGAGCGACGAGCAGGACTTGTCGAGGAGCCAACGCCATCGGGTGCGTTCTCTATACGCTCACCCTCGTTCATTTAAGAAAGGACATGCCGCTCATTTCAGCTTCCTTCTCGCGGATTCCGTGATCAAACGCTCAGGGCTCGTGCAAGACGCAGCGATTCCGTTCTCTTTGTAGCGGTCGAAGATTGCACGGCATAGAGCTTAGTACTGTCCACGGCCATCCCTTGAGAAACCTTGCCCACGGCGCACTGTGACTACACCCTTTGATACCACGCGTTTCTTTCGACTGTGGCATACGCTTCGCCCAACGATGCTCAGCATAAATCCTTCATGACGAAATCTATAGTAGCAGTGGTTTTCAAGTCCTCCCAGTCACCACCGGCCAGACGTTGGGTTACCGAGGCTTGCCAACGACCACCATGCCCCGCAAGTGAGTGGGGTGGGGAAATTCAATTGACTCATTGCTGCAATTCGTGCCAATGCGTCTAACAGGCACCCTTGCCGTCCTGACTGTTCTTCCCTTCTACTCGTTGGACACTTGGAGTCCCCAATGCGTACATCGCTCGGTCCAATTCCATCTTCCCACTCATAATGCTTTCAGTTCGAAAGGATGTGGGGGTCACGCCACATCCTTTCTTCAGACGCTCATAATCAACTCTTAATTACTATTCGAACAGCCTACTCTTAATCCTCAACAACCGCCAATACACGTCCTCTGACAACCTATTCTCTGGCGTTGGCACCGAGTCGTTTCATGCTCAGACATGGAAAGACGGCGCTCACTTTCACTACTTTTTACCCAAACCGGGAGGACCGATGGCGAAGACAGATATCCGTTGACGGAGAGCCGTGTAGATGGAAATGTTGGCGATGGGAATTCGAACAGTGTCGCGAGACTGAACGCAGCTTTTCCAGAATTAAAACACGGAGACTCGAACCAGATCCTGCCAGCTTGAATCTATAAAACATCACGGTTGTTTCCGTGTAGATATTCGTGTATCTACATGAGCAATTTACAACGATTGTCATTTGTATCACTTTGAGGCAAAAAAGCAAGCGCCTGGGCGAAAGGCGCCAGGCACGTGTTGGCACGTGGACCTCAATCCCAATTTGGAAAAACATTCCGTCATCAAATCCCGTTGACGTGCCATTGTTCTCAAGAACCACAACGCGCTTACTGGGACAGTTGAGATCAATGTGAGTGGGCGCCGGTCTTTCTTTCTTCTTCACCAACATGACTAACTCATCTATCGATACCAAAGCATCTATCGACGAGGATTCCCCGCTTGAACCCAGCGCCGACGACGCGTCGCGTGCAGAAGGGGGCGAACCTCGCGTCGAGTCTGCCACCCCCCGCAAGAGACTACCGGGACCGAGTCTCAACTACCAGGCCAACACCTCCGAATCTCGGCAACAAGCAGACCCTATAGCGAAGCGAGTCTGGCACGACATGCTGAAGAACAAATTCGACATCCAGGACGTGTCCTCGTTTCTTGATGCGATGGGGCCAGGACAGCCTGTTCAAATAGGCCCCATTGTGGAGAAGGCTCGATACACACTGGGGACCGTAGCTACCAAGCTCGAGAATGCGGAGAAAGAGAAGGACATGACGGGACCCATGGTGAGTGTCATCCTCTCCATCTTAACATCTACTCACCCCTGCCACCGAATAGATCAAATACTTGAATAAAGTCGTCGTAGACTTCCCGCCCACCACCAAACCCAGTTTCCACGACACGAGCAACACGAGATTTCCGTCCGTCGAGGATGGGGATCAACAGGAACACCACACGATGCCCGACATTACGGGTTCCAGACCTGGCCAGATCTCGCACAGTGGTGACTGGGTTTGGGC